GGGAGTCATCATACATTTTTAAAAGTCATTCTATATGACGAAGTATTCGCATTTTTCTTTAAATTTATTTAGAATTCTAATTAATTGTAAAAAAGAATTTTCGTATTTCTGTGTTCCCAACCAGGGAATTTAAATCTAATTCCTCAGTCGTGTATCCATTTAAATATAATTATTATATAAATGTAATTATTATTTTAAATTATTATAAAAAATTATTACAAAAGTAATGCAAGTCGAAAATTGCATTAATAAAAATTCGCTTATAATATTAACGACTAATTTTGCACATATATAAACAGGTAATAAACATAAATGGAACACTTGAATCATTTCATTCTAAATAATTTTATTTACTCTATAAATTAATATTACACAGTTTCTATATAATAATAATAATAATAATACATATACATATATTCTAGTAAATGTTATAACAACAATTAGTAACGGAGTACATATGTGAATCGGAGCGCGATTTCTCATGTGACAAACGCAAGCACCCAAGGGGGTGGGTCGGTCGTTTGGTGGTACGAAACAGTAATTGCATCTTCGATCCGCGTATCCGAATGGGAACGACGCTAATTACCGCGGGGCGATAATTCCCGTTGCCGCGTGTCACCCGTGCGTGCGTGCGTGCGTGCGTGCAGCGAAACTCGTATAATCGTTGCCTCGCATTTTAATACTTCTATTACCGGGGTTCATAATGAATTCGTCGCGCGTAACGTCGCGTTGCATCATCGTTGTTTAATAATTCAAGAGCAGATCGCGAACTCGTTGCATCGTTTCAAGAAACTGCAAGATAAGACCTTGAACACGACTTCGTTCAGATATTTTATTAAACGATTATCTTATCAGTAATTTATTATAATTCATTCATCTTCTCTTGGTATTTTTTTCGTATTTGTAACAAAATTGTTACAGCAGAGAGGCACGCGCGCTCGACCTCGATTTAAGTCTTTTAAACCTCGCGTTTCCCAAGAAGTCGTCAACGTGACCATTTATTCTATTCCTTATTGTTTCATTATAAGGGAACACAAATTAGAAAGTGAAAGTGAATTTCAAAGAGAGCCCGCCGTTTGCATTCTCCCTACCAATCTGTACAACCATCCCTCCTCTACGAAACCATGATAAACCACCCCTTTACAAATACACATAATCGATCGAAATTAAGTTTGGAAATCACGATTATATTTAAAAATTGAAATCGAGTTTAAAAATCGCAGGGAACGATACATAAATGAGGAGCCGTGGTTGATTCGAGGAACGCGCAGAGGTGGCGCCAGTTCGCTACGGGCAGCACGGGTATCGTTCAGTTGCAGTGGTGCATGGTCCGTGGCAGTATGCGAAACAGTGTTTTGTGGAGTAGGAGTAGTAGTTCGTTGTTTTCGTGCACGAGACTCTGCGGGACGATTTTCGGAAATCCGACGAGGAGAATGCGACGGACACGTTGCCAGGGTGGCCACGGGTACGCGCGTCCCGGCGCCCGTCACTGAGAAGCGTCGGGCACGGTCGCGAGCTCCCTTTTAGGTTAAAAGCGCACAATGCGTTGCGTGAGAGATTTGTACGGTGAAAGTATCCGCGAGGACGCCGCGCGACCACGTCGAGGCAGCGAACGTTGTCGTCTCCTATGCCGTTTTCTGACGCCGATTCGCGCCGATCTCTAGCAAGATTCGTAGTGCGACGATACTGTGGCGGGAGCGAGAGGGGGCGACGGCCGAGAGGGGGAGACAGAGAATATGCCGAGGTTGCGGTGATCCGAACGGTCGAATTTCGTGAACGAATCTCCGTGTCGGGTTTCGCCACCAGATGCACCGTAGCGGCTGTAAACAGAATTCGCGTCGGACCCATGGATACGTGAACTGCTCTGGAGGCCGTCTTCGTAGATAGGTAACCGAGAACCCGCCTCTTCTCTCTATTTTTTGTTTAGAGTCGACGGAAAACGATCTCGCGATATTGAACTGGTAACCGAGCTAATGACCTTCGTATTCATTTTCTTGCCTTGCGAAACGCTCCACCACGCGTTCTATCCTCGATATGCTTATAAATAATTGAAACGTTACGAGCTCGATTTTTATTCACTTTACCTGTCGTCTTACAGAATTTGAAAACCCCGATACGCGCTCTGTCGTCGATCGATACGTTTACTTATAAATAATTGAAATACTATTTAAGTATATTGTCCAGCGTCTAAGTGCTTTTAACGATCTATCGGCTATAGGCTTGTTAACGATCGAACGTGGAAAGTAGAAGGTCAGCAATTTAATTGCAAGCATAACGAATTTACTGGGAAACTAGTTACCCAGATTAGATTGCGCGGGTCACGTAGATGGAAAAACGAGACCGGAGCATGATCTTATTTTCTCGATCCTCCACCCACTCCGATTCCCCTGATCGAATCCTCGGGATTTCTAAAATCACGTGATTTTCTATTTTCCTTCCTGATCGTTCATGGGAACGAACACAGTTTCACTGGGAAACTGCCGTAAGAGTATAAATTTCCCTGCTCGTGATCGTCAACAGACAATCCGGCAGTGGCAGCCTTTTTTTGCAGTGACACAAAGCAGTGCATGGCATGGCATGTGCCGGCCCGAGCTCTTCTCCTCGCGGCTAAACATTATTTCATTTCCTGCTCAGGGGGAGAGGCGGAATGAACGATAAATACCATATTTGTATCTGCACGCCCACACGATCCTTTGATACTAATTGTCTCCACGCGTATGCGTGCTCGACCTCTGTAGACGCACCGTTAGAACCGCGACCGAAGTAAAAAAATCCTCGTCCCACACCACCACCGTTTCCCATCACCCGCGACATTTCACAATAAATAAACCAAGTCTTGACGCCCTCTCGCCGTTCATCCCTTCCCGCACACGCCGCGGCAATTATTCACTTCTGCGTGCGCCTCCTGTTCATCCCCGCGCACGATTTTCCACTAACGAACGACTCTGTACGTCGTAACGCGTTGGATTCGCTTGCAGGATATTAGAACAATTGAACATGGCAGACGACGAGGGCACCGAATGGCTGCAGGGGCTGCTGCACGACGTCCAGCTGTCGCAGTTCTTCACGCGTATCCGTGACGACCTCCAGGTCACTCGGCTGCATCATTTCGATTACGTGCAACCGGAGGATCTCGAGAAGATCGGCCTGGGGAAGCCGGGGATCCGACGACTGCTCGACGCCGTGAAGAAGAAGCGGAACACCCAATGGAAGAAGAGCCTGATGACCAAGATCCGACCCGGCAGCAGCGCCAAGACCAACAAGAGGAGCTCCCAGCCGGTGGAAGGCTCCTCGGTACTGACGTGCCTCATACAAGACAAGGACGTGACTCTGTCCATTAAATTGGGCGACGGTAGCTTCGGCGTCGTAAGGCGCGGAGAATGGACCTCGCCGTCCGGTAGGGTGTTGCCAGTCGCCGTGAAGGTTCTGAAGGCCGACGCTCTGACACAGCCGAGTGTCATAGAAGACTTCGTATCCGAGGTGCAGGCGATGCACACGTTGGATCACCACAATCTCATTAGGTTCGTGTGTTTCGAAAATATCACGAGTCGCTCTATAAAAGGAACCGAATTTTCTTGAAATCTCTGTCGACACCGATTGATCTTCCACGTTCGAACACCTCGTACAGACTGAAATGCAAGCTTAATCACTCAGACCACTTATCGCTCTGTTTACGAAATGTGTCGTCGTATGTATAAACGTGTCTCGGTAGGAATTTATGGGACGACTCGGTACAGTCACCTCGATGACTCGAGCAAATTAAAATATTTTCTGGAGCATGAAACGAGTTACCGTCATAAGTAGACTGCGGATTTTAATCGTACAGAAAATTATGAATGAATAAAAATTCGCTGACTAACGATAAGAGCGTCGCGCTTCTACAATCCGGATTTTATTTATTTGCAGACTTTACGGCGTGGTATTGTCGCAGCCGATGATGATGGTGACCGAGCTGGCGCCGCTGGGAGCCCTGCTAGACTATCTCCGTAAACAATGTGGTCAAATCTCAGTATTAACTCTTTGCAACTACGCGCTCCAAGTAGCCACGGGTATGGCTTACTTGGAGGCGAAGCGTTTCCTGCACCGCGACCTGGCGTGCAGGAACGTTCTTCTGAGTTCCGTGGACAAAATAAAAATTGGTGATTTCGGTCTGATGCGCGCGTTACCGCAGCAAGAGGACTGCTACGTGATGACGGAGCACAAAAAAGTGCCCTTTCCGTGGTGCGCGCCGGAGTCGCTGAAGGCTCGACAGTTCAGCCACGCGTCCGACGTGTGGATGTTCGGTGTGACTCTATGGGAGATGCTCACGTTCGGGGAGGAGCCGTGGGTGGGTTTGAAGGGATCCGAGATCCTGAGGAAAATCGACAAAGACGGTGAGCGTCTGCACGAGCCGGAAGCGACGCCGCCGGATATGTATCAAATGATGCTTCGTTGCTGGGCGCGAGATCCTGCGGAGAGGCCCACGTTCGCCGCTCTGAAATCGTCCCTAACGGGAATGGTTCCGGCAGTGATGAAAGCTTTGAGTCACTTCACCATGGCTGGAAAAATGACCATTGAACAAGGCGATCAGATCGTGATCTTGGACGGCCGGCCGGAGAATTATTGGTGGAAGGGTCAGAACCAACGGACCTTCCAAATTGCACTGTTCCCTCGCTGTTTTGTGGATCCCATGAGACGGAAACAAGCGGAGGATATTAGCAAACCGTTGGAGAATTCGTTTATTCATACCGGGCACGGGGCACCGTTCGGGAAAAGCTGGGGCAGTCCTATTTACATAGACGATGTTTATCTGAGAAATCCTATGGAACCGCCTGACGTAGTGGGCGTCGTGCCTCCAGAGGCCAAGGAGAAATACTGCGGTACGCCGAGATCGAGGAAACAGTTCAATTATACGAAATTGCAGAACGACATTGGAGGCAGTCCTGTTAAAACGGCGAACGCGGCGTCTGTTCCTAGCGGCAGTCAAGAGGGCAGCTTGATAGATCTGTCGCCGGAGGAGATGGTGAACACTGCCGAGGCGCAATCGGACACTGCCTGTCGTCGAGTGGTAAATATCCTCGACGAACCGATCGACAACATCGAGCAGCAGCAATCGACGACGAATTGGCCGGACGAAGACCCTCGGACCTACGCGAATTTCCCTGGGAACGTCGATCCTGCTTATTCGGACCCTTTCGACACGTCCACGGTGTTCATGAAACTGCCTCAGTCCAGGTATTACAGTCACGTACCTTCGGACGTGAGCAATCGATACTTCAAGACTCAGACTTACGGGAACGTGCAAAATCAGGACGCAGCCAGTAGCAATCAAGAGAATTATTTCCCTGCGGAGCAACCCGCCGCGGACGTGAATCACTATTCCATAAATCTGAGCAAAGAGAACAGGAACGACAGTATCAATCTAAACGTGAACGCGGGGGAGAACAACGCGTACAGCCAGAATCATTACAGCGAGATCGATAAACCTAGTCCGACGGCGAACTGGCCGGAGGATTTGCAACAGAACGAAGTGCAGACGTACGTGAACGTCTCTAGTCGGAACTTGCAAACGCCCGACGCGCCTCCCCCGCCGCCTGTCGCACCGAACGAAAGTCCTCCGAAACCGAAATCGAACCATGATCTCGCTCAGAGTCTGAACGAATTGACTATCAACTCTCGTAATGTTTCTCCGAAGAAATTGGACCCAGCTTTTCTGGCCGAGTTGGAGAAACATTTAGGCGAGAAGGAAGCTAGCAAAAACATGATAGCCAGTCAATCGAATCCTGAAACCTCCGATCCCTACTCGTCCGTTACTAAACAGGATAATATGATCCCAGCGTTAAGGCCTCCGCCGCAAACGGCGAAGCGCAAATCGCCTCAGTTGGCCGATTACCGGAGCAGCAACCTGCCGAGCAAAGTCCAGAACTCCTGGCAGTCGAAGAGTACAAATATCCAACAACCAGTCCGCGTGCAGCTCGAACAGAGGGTAGAGACAAGCACGGAACAAATGGTCGGCCAGATTTGGCACCAGCAGCAAGCTCAGATGTCCCAGCACAACGCCTACGTTCCTCAGCCAAATCTGAACCTCCTTCAAGCCGCTCCCAGCAATGTATCCAAGCCAACTTTCAATCACGCACAGAACGCAGCGAGCAACTTCCCGAATTTAACGTTGCCCACGCCGTTCCACGGGATAACGCAGATACAGAACGACCTGCAACAACCGCATTCGAGTAATACCGTTCCGAAGCCGCCGAACGCGGCCTTCTCACCGTTGCAAGTGTACGCGGAGCTGAAGCAGACCGTGCCGAACCTGGATCAACTGTCTCAAAGCGAGTTCAACACGCTGTACAATAAAACGGTGCAGCAGAACATCCTTAGAAACTATTCTGCGGTCGGCACGTCCGCCACCGATTCAACCAGCAATCTAAGTCATAGCCACTACCTGGACGGAGCGTCTGGAACGAGCGGTCAGCCTCGCGCTAGCCAACCCGCGAGGAACGCATCTGGACAACATCCCTGTGACTTCAGTCCGCATTTGAAACAGCCACCGGTGTACAATCCTCCACCCCCGGCCAGCACCTGGAGCCCGATGAAGTCCGTTCAGAACGAGCTGGGGCAGGGCCAGAGCGCGATCAAGTGCAATTTAGCGAGCAATCTGGTGAACAGCCCCAATCTGCTTCAACTCGCGCATACCAATCCGCCTCAAGAGGGTCCACAACCGTCCTCGATCAGGGCTATGGCCCCGCAGATGACCGAGACGGTCGTTAATACTCAATTAGCCCCCTCCGCGTCCGCTTACCCCTCCGGCGTCAGTCCACCGTTGACCGCGGCCTCTCAGCAGCTGGTCATGTCGCTCAGCGACGAATTCCGCGCGAATAAAGTGATGAAGGTGCAGAGAGAAGTGGATGCGTCGCAACAGGAAATACTCACCGCGCTCCAGGCCACCGGTTGGGACACGAATCAAGCTGCCAAGCAGATTCTAAAGGACAGGCAGGCCAAGATCGAGTCTCTTGTCAGGTATTAAGATTTTACCAACCATAAATATTTCTAGTTCATACAAGAATCGTTGGAATACAATATTTGATGGCACAATACTTATTCAATGATTCTAACAAATCTTAAAAGCGTCGGAACGATTCCCTTCACTTCTCTGGTTAATTAGTTCATTTTTCCATATGCAACTTTCGATTTCTGAGCCGTTTATTAAAACGCTTAACGGTGCGGAGCTGATTTTCGAAAATTATGCAACCACCGTGTGTTTTCGCAATTTTCCAGATTGGGCTTGGCGGACCGGCAACAGTGCGAGGGTGCTCTTAAGCAGACTGAATACGACGTAGACTTAGCGGCTTCCCTGTTGCTAGATCAGGTGAAATGATCAGATAAAGATACTGTAAAATAACTGTGTAGCGATGATATAGGTATTCTTAGTGTACACGTATTTATAAACGATAGCCATACGAGTGAGTAAACGAGGGCTACGGGCCGCGAGAGCATGATCGAGTGCAGTCCGTAACGCGAGATCCTCGGCGATATTCGATATCCCGTGAGTAGATAACGATCGCACTGAAACAAGTGTTCCGTTTCCTTAAAGTCTCCCAGCAGGTTAATGATAAATAAATAGAGGTATCAATCCATCTGCGAATAAAAATAGTTGAAGTTATTAAAAAGACTGAGCCGATTCTTTAGATTCTTCGAATATCGTCTTCAGCATCTCGTTTTACAGGCTGGAAGTGTCTCCTGTTTGAAAAAATTCTGTAGTTCGATACAGAGTCACAAATCAAGTATTAATTTTTCTTCTCTTATATTTTTTTATTTGTACTTTGCTGATCGATGAGGAACACTGAGGTTGCATTCCAATGTTGTCAGCGGGAGAGATTTCGCAGGCCTTCGGTCTTTCTTTCGAGTTTCATTCTCTTCGGGTGCTTCTGATATCTCAGATTCTAATTTAATTTCTCCATCCATCTCGTAATGAAAATACTCTTCCACACTTGGCGTAATTAATGGAGTTAATACTTGTCACTGATTTCATAAAATAGAGCGACAAAGGTCTTCCTGTAATTACGGTGTGCATCAATGAAAAAATTGTACAATCGGTTTATTCAACGTCAGTAGAGATTCGAAACTGTTCCCGTCGACGAGCTCTAATTAGATCTACGTGACCGGAAGTGAAACGGGTCACCGAGGATTGTCGGTGGAATGAGAGAGAACTCCTTCGCCTTCTTTCCATACATATTTATGACAGTACATCCCCCCCGTGAAAGTGCTAGTAAAACGTCTTTTTACGATTGAATTCTGCGGAGTGCTCGGGGCCTGTTAAGAGAAATCGATGGTGTCATCGATGACGAGGTTCCATTAACGCCAGAACAATGCGAACACTGTGCTAAGAAATCAGTACCTTCCTTGTTCCAACTTTTTAGCCTCTATCCTATTTTTAAATTCGATTTGTAATCAACAATTTTATTGGAATTTAACGAATTTCCAAGTCGAAGAGAAGAATTTTTAATTAATCTTTTAATTAGAAGACGTAGAATTTGTTGCTAATTTATGGGAACAGTTTCGGGTCCAGCTGATCTTCAGGAGCACTTGGATAATTTCGAGGGGCACAATTCCATGAAAGCAATTCCTGATCGCGTCGCCAGTTGAGAGTCGTAGCAAAAAGGAGTGGAAACGGTTCTCGGACCTGGGACAGTCAGTGCTAGCCTTAAACGATTCTGCACAGGTTTTCGAGTAGCTGCGACGCAATCGTGATGACGAACGAGTCTGCTAAATAAAAAAATACGTGTATGTACATGTGTGTATAAAAGGAGAGAGAATATATAGGAGGAGATATTTGCCAAGTAGCGAGAGACGTTGAATTTGTAACTGTGATATGCGTTACTAAAGGCTCTAGGCAGAAAGGAAGAGAACTTTTCTCTGTCGTCCTTTTTAGGGATAGAGATACAGGCGAGTCAATAAGAATGATCATGCAACATAAAAACAGTTTACTTATTTCATTGGAAAAATCGTTGAAATGCAGGAATGCATAAATTCGAATCACACGAGTAATTGTTTTCAACGATTATTCTTATTAATTCGTTCTGTGTATCAATTAGATATGTGATGTCCACGAGTGTACATAGGAGTTTCTAGCGACTGAGTTAAGCTTCCTTTATTTACATTTATTTTCTTGTTCTGTCCCCGGCCATAAGCCGGATATCATGCGGTGTGAATAAAAACGTTTCGTCTGATGATATTCTATGCGGGAAGCAATCGAACAGTTTTCATTTCTTCAAATTAAAAATCGGTAGAATCACAGCGAGCTTGAGTATGAAATCCAGTATTATTGATTCACTATGAAGAGTTTAGGTTCTAAGATTTTTTTAGATAGGATTCTAAGAAAAAATTGCAAGAATTTTATTTCTCGGTTCCTTTCCGCATAATTTAATAACGTAAAATGCAAACAGGAAACACTGTGATTGTCTTCAGCCAGATTTGTCCCTATTTTTCAAATGCCTATCTAAAGTCACTATTTTTTTAAGCAGAGAGAGAGAGAGAGAGAGGTGGGACAGTGACAGAGTTTCTGATTTGCATTTATCACCGAGGAAGTCACGAGGTTTTGTTTGTGCGAAGCGAGAATGAGAAAACGGATAGGCTCTCTAAATTATTCTCCGGAAATCAAACTTACGCTCGTTAGTGTCCACGTAAGTGGCGTCTGTATGTTGTGGCCGCGGAGAATGTTCGATACATCACAAATAAAATGTAAATGACGAGAATCCACATTTGTTTCAGTCACACATTTTCGTCGTTCTTAATTGCATCACTCGTACTGTATTTAATACTGTGTTCTCCCTGTTTACAAGATTCGTTTAAATATCTTGGATGTTCGTAATTGTCGAAGCCGTCTGATCATAAATAAATTCGTTGGAATGTTTATAAATGACGATTAATGAATCTCGGTCTGTGGATCTTCACAATGGCTGATCGAGAAAGCAAACGGAAATGTCTATTCGTGTTCGAACGCATTGTTTATCGGGAAAGTGTATCCCCCTGCTTTCTATTTCAGTTTTCGATAGACTGGAACCTCGTGAATATTCACGTGCAAAGATGATAAACAGAATCCATGAGGAATTTCATTAACACTACCATCGCATCGTCGACCCTCTCATCTTTCGACATTCGTTCATCCTGCCTTTTCTAATTTTATTCATATTTCAAATGTTCACAATATTTCCCCTGACTGTTTTGTTCGTAATTTACATAGTATAGTATTTAAAAAACCAGTACTCACTGTCCGTTTGTGTGATCATAGGATTTATTATTTTACAGCTGCCTTGTGATTAATTAATCTTTAATCCTCAATTGTATTAAGAATGTAATTATATTTTGTATACTGATTTCCATAGTTATGCTTTTCCCCCATCCTCCCACGATTTTATCAAAGGTTCGTCGAGAAAAATTCTTTGATTTTTTGTAGTGGATAAAACTTAGGCAATTTCTATTATATTTTTTATATATAAAATTCCATTGAACTCTCACTGTTTGAGATAATTCTGAATTTCGCAATTTCGGTCGGATTGGAGGAACGCTGTTAGGGTTTAATTGACTCGCCCCGAGGTACACTCGGACAGGCCTCGGTTCACATGCGTTTGATATAATTGAACGGAATCGGGTTGACGTTTCTTAAAAAGGCCAATGAAAGTACCATTACGCAATTGGCGAGCTCATGGGAAGTCAAAAGAAATAGAGCCAGCTTGTAGAAGAATGCAGTTAGGGACACTTTTTCTACAGACAGTAATAGTGTTTGATCTTTGCGAGTGATTTATGAGACTGGCCACTTCTTGTTTGGAAATTAAACGAAGAATGTAATTTAAGATGTAACACAATTAATTGGTAGAATCTTAAAATAGGTCTAAGGAGCTGAGGAAAGTATTCATCTTAAAATAGATCTGAGGAGCTAAGAAGTTTAGAAGGAAATATTCAATTAATTATTGACGCTGGCGAAAAGCGTCTTGTACAGAAGTTGTAGGCACTGACATCAAAGGACATGACAAGAAAAATTGAAATTTCTTTTTTTCTCGAAATTTCGACAATTTTTAATTAAAAATAGTGTACTTTTCTTCTAATTTCGATATT